TGAAGTTGCTGAACTTTGATATCAAGACAGCTCAAGAGAAAAGGGTCATGCAACTCCATGAACTTGAGGAGATTAGGCTTGAGGCTTTTGAGAGCTCAAAGATCTATAAGGAGAAGACCAAGACTTTGCATGATCAAAAGATTCTGAAAAGGGAGTTCAAGAATGGTGATCTGGTGTTGCTGTTCAACTCTAGGCTTAAGTTGTTTCCTGGAAAACTTAAGTCCAGATGGTCTGGTCCCTTTAAGGTTCTTGAAGTCAGGCCATATGGAGCTGTTGTCTTGGAAGGAAAGAATGGTCAAGAGTTTGTGGTAAATGGACAAAGGATCAAGCATTATCTGGTCTCACAAAAGAAGGAGGAAGCTACATCAGTTCCCCTTCTTGATCCACCACCAGCCTGTTAAACAGGTTTCCAAAGTCAAACTTAGAGACTTTAAACAAAGTGCTCTTGGGAGACACCCCAAGCTTATCTTTGTACATAGTTCTTTTGATTTCTTCTCTTTTCTTTTATGTTTTAGAACTTTTTGATGGGTTTTGTGAGTTGGTCTCAGGTTCTAGGTGATTTTTGGAGGACATAGCTCAGTGATGAATGGAATGGAGCATGTGAGAGGACTGAGAGAAGTGTTTAGGGCCTGAAAACTTGGAGAACGCCTCAGTGCTACCTAGGTGTGCGGTTTGGATCAAGAAGAGCCCAGGCCGCAGCAGGACTCGTAATTTACACCGGCCTGGGTGTGCTGCCTGGTAAAAGAGGTCCAGGCCGAAGAAAGAAGAAGAAAAGGCCAAGAGTTCTAAGTCCCAAACTCTGCTACCTGGTGCTGCGGCCTGAAACCCAAGGAAGCTAAGTCGCAGCCCAATTCGCAATTTACTCCGAGTTGGGCGTGCTAGCTGGGAAAAGAGAAACCAGGTCGCAGCATAAGAAGATTGGCCGATGTGTTTAAGTGCTAAACTCTGCGACCAAGTCATGCTACCTGGGAACCAAAAGAGTTAGGCCGCACATATGTTCGCAAATCACTCCAAGTTAGGTGTGCTGGCTGGGAAGCAAGAGGACTAGGCCGCAGCATTGGAAGAGAGTTCCATGAACTGCACAGCCCTGGTCACATATGGAACCACTTGGGTGGATCTTGACGACGGGTCTGATGAGGCAAGCCATCATTCTTGGGAGACACCATCCGGCCACACTTCAAACCCCTCTTACTCATTGGGGTCTGACTTCCACAGCTCTTAGGTAACACTCAAAACCTTGTAAATATCATGTAGATTTTCTTTTTCTTTTGCATTTTACTTGTTTACTTTGTTTTAACTCCTTTCTCATGCTTTTATAACACAAGGGACTGTGTTATTTAAGTGTGGGGGAGGAGTTTCATCTTTTACTAATCATGTTTTCTCTTTTCTTATTTTACACTTTGAGTCTTGAGTCACATTCTAGTTGCATATTCATGTAGTCTCATCTAAGTGCATATAAAAACCAAAAAAAATGAAAAATCTGAAAAATTTTCACAAAAAATGATCATGTAGTTGCATTCTCATTTTTAGGATTGAGTCTAGATTGCATGTTCATGTAGGTTGCATCTAGCAGGGAGTAATGATGGGTTTTCTAGAGAGTACATCACTTTGAGAACTTGAACTGAATATGCTTGTGAATCTTTTTCTATGCTTGCAAAGTCTGAAATAATCTGAATCTGAGAAGCAAGTTTGAATTGAACTCAACTCTAATTAAGTGGGAACCTTGAACTTGACTTGAAAATATCTTGTGATGCATTGTTTGAATAAGCTTGTGGATACCAATATACATATTTGAGCTAGAATCCTGTTTTTACCATCCTCTTCCTTAGCTCAAATAGCTGAATCTGCATAATAGATCAGTTTTCCTCACCTTGAACCCATCCTTCTTTCAAGCCAATTGTTTGTGTGTGATTGAGAGGCCGCCTTGGACCAAACTTAGCAGAAAGTGTTAGGTTTAGGGCGACAAGGGCAAGTCTCATTGAGTGCTAAGTTCCATCATCAAGGAGCTGAGAGATTTGGCAAGAACTAAGTGTGGGGGAATACATGTTGGTGAGTGGAAAAAGGAGAGATGAGTGGAAATAAAAGGAGAATGGTGAGAACTAGGGGATTGAAAAAGAAAAGAAATCAGTCTTGGAGTTTTGAGTCAAAGAAAGTGAGCTCTAGTGTTTTGAAAAGAAAGAGTCTAGCCTCTAAGTGAAAAGAAAAGAAGCCAAAGAGCTCATATGTTTAAAGCTGAAAGAAAACAAAGAGGTTACAAAAGAAAGTGAAAAAAAGCTATGGAAAGTTTGAACTCCAAGACTTGTGTATGAAAAAGAAAAGAGAGTCCCCTAGTGAGAGAAGAATGAGTGTGAAAAGTAAGCAAGTGAAGAAACTTTGAGTAGAGTGTGGGGTGGGATGAGTCTTTGCCCTTGTATGCATAGGTTGCCTTTTACCTTTAGCATTCTGCCAAAGTTTGGTCATTCATAGAGAGATCCTTTTGCTGCATTGAACCCACTCAGGCATTGATGAGATCATTTTAGTCTCATAACCTCACCCTAGCCAAACTATGTTTGTTTAAACAATGCATCATTTGATCCACTTGGTAAAAAGCTTAATGAATGTGAAAGAGTTGAGAGAGAGAAGAACTTGTGGAGATTCCATTTATGTTGCATAATTCATTCCAAATCATGTTTTATTCCATGCATTTTAGGTCCTTAGGGTTTGTTTTAGAACTTAGGAGATGCATTAGGTCCCAATGAGTCTTTGCATGTTTTGAGTGTTTATCAGGTGTATTTGGAGCTGAAAAGATGAATCCAGGAGGTGGAATGGTGATCAAGGCTTGAAAAAATGGTGAACTTATGTTTTTGGAGGTTATCGGCCATTCTCGCGTACCAGGAAGGTTTTTGCCGGCCATTTTCATGTACCGCGGGTAGACCTTATCGGCCAAAACGCGTACCGCGAGTGGATTGTATCGGCCAAAATCTCAAGGTGCAGACACGTTTTCGAAATCGCCTGTCCGGGGAACCTTCCGGTCCGATTCAGTTGGCGGGTGCTTCATCAAAGTTGGAGAAGATTGGATTACGGTTCCATAGCAAGTCGAATCATGGAATTCGGACGCGTGAGCAGAGAGTTAAGCTCGTCAGAAGAAACCTCTGTCTCGCTGCTGTTTTGAACCAAACAGATAAGCTCTGAAGAATGCGAAGGACGGTGCACTTCCAGGCCGATTCAGTTTCTGGGGCCTTCATGAGAATCAGAGACATTTGAATCCTCTTTCCATAACATCCGATATCCTTCAATTAGGAGCTATGAGCAGGAAGATACGGTCTCTAGAATAGACACATGTATAGACGTCTCTCTCTGATCGTGTAAATTCATTGCAAAGATGAGCCCTCCAGGAAGCCTTCCACTTCCCAAGCACCGAAACTTCCTTTACCAAAATTGGAGAGAAATGAGTCCTCTGTCTTCTGAAACCGGAATCACTCAATTCGGACAAGTATCGTAGAAGCTACACTCTCCGGAATGCGAAGTGGTCCAAACTGCTCTGAATGCTGCGAGATGGTCTTGCGACTTGGTTAACCCGCAGGCCTGAAAATGAATGTTTGAAAGCTGATGCTGCGAGTTGAGAAGTGTGGGTAAGCTATCACTGGATGAGGTCTGAGGCTCCCGAGCAAGAGAAATGATAAGTCCACAATCGTGCGACTTAGGCTTGCGAGTTAGCCGCGCCTGGAACTAAGCCGGACGATCACTCGCAAATCACTCCGACTTGAGCCTGCGACCTATGTGCAATGGAAACCAACCCGCACATATGCACACTCCCCAGAAACCGCCTTGGTCCTGCGAGTTGAAGAAGAAGAAGATCAAGCCGCAGCAACACTCGCAAAACACTCCTACTTGGGCGTGCGGCTAAGACAAGGCGATCTAAGTCTCACAAGACAGGTTCTTCATCTACTGCAACTTATTCATGCTACCTGGGAGATACTGGACCAACCCGCAGGATTCCCACTTTATCCATTAAAGCCGGGTCAGGACACGGTTTGTTCCGGGCTGACCCGGTTTGTTTTTAGAGAGATATAAATACTTTTTAAGGTTTTTTGTGAGAGGACTAAGCTTTATTCCCTTTGTCTCTTGCCTCTTTTGTGAAAAGACTCCACTAAGAAGAGAAATATCTATTATTGAGTGTTTAATCAAGAGAGTTTAAGAGATCTTTGTGTTTAAAGCTGCTTTCTTCTAAATCTATCATCTATCTCTTCATCTATACACTTCTAATTATGATTAACAACACATCTTGCAAAGGATCTAGTGTGTTGATCATGATTAGTGAGTAATCTCCATATTAAGGTCTTAGATATGTAGATTAGGGTGCTTAAGTGGTAGATTAGTGAGCTTAGGGGTTAGATCATGCATATTCCATTCTCTACAACTTGTTCTCTATGCTAGATCCATACAAATCATATGTGGTCTAGATTCTGGGCATTTCATGCACCAAAAGTGTTTGATGAAATGCCTGAACCAAGGTTGTTAGAGGTTTAAGTGTTATTCATCATGGGAATGATTGTTTATATGCTTAAATGACAGATTAAACTGATTCTTAATGCTTGTTAACTCATGTTTCACTGATGATGATTGGGTTAGAAACTGTTTTAGCATAGGAGTTAATACCTTCATGAGAGGATTAACTTAATTAAAGATGTTTATGTTGAATGGTTTGCTTGATCATATGATTCATTAGCTCATTAGTTTATCACTGAAGGCACCCTAATCCACTATCATGTTTAAGACCTTTCTCATCATCATTCATACATTCTCACCATTTGTCATTGTTTAGTTCTTGTTTGATCATTTCATTAGTCTTTAATCCTGTTTAAGTTTGTAGTTGTCTTTAGATAATCAAAACCACTCTTGTTTGCTTGAATTAAGAACTTGATCACATAGTTTAGTGTCTAACACCACATCTGGATTGATAAACCCCTTGTACTACAAGACAGGGGATTGATAACCTCTATAAAGAGCCTTGAAAACTCTTAGTTATCATCCAGCTTGGCCAGACCTTCCTCCACTTCGGTGAGACGTTCCTGAAACTTAGTCGTCAACTCGCGCCTCACCTCCTTCGTGGCCCGCTTCACCTTAGCGTCGAATAAAGCATCTTTAGCTTCGATGCGCCTCTTCAATAAAGCCACCTCGGCACTCTTGGCTCTCCTGGATTCTTCAAGGCGAGTCACCATGGAGGACACCTTGTCAACGTTGGCTCGGAGAGTTATTTTCTCTTCTTCAAGCCTCTTAATTCTGGCCCTCGCCTCGTTTAACGTTCCCTTAGCCGTCGCAGCTTCCTTCTGAGCCTCCTCCAAGCGGCGCTTGTCCTTAACCAAGTCCGATTCATAACCGGCCATCATCTCGTTGATAGCCGCGACAAACTGCAAAAGTGGTGATTCCTTAGATTCAAAGATTACATGATATCAAGGAAGAAGCAAATTAGAAAAGTACCTTGGTACCGCGCTGCGCCATGGCAGCGTAGGACTTCGACCGCCTCAACTGCTCGGAGGGCGGAAGACGAGTGTTGGCGTTGTTGACGCGGGCGAACATTACCGCGGAGGCAGCCGGGTCGTCAACTACCAGCTTATGAGATGCGGGCTCGCCGGGCGCCGATTTACATTTCTTTTTTGATGGCTCGTCCTTTTGGACGGCCGCGCCCTTGCCCTTTTCCGCAGCCGATCTTTTCCTGCTGGAATCATGCTTCAGCAGGTCCGAAGCCGGAGGCCTTGATTGTTTCGGAAGAGCCAGAATCGCCGAGGAAGGCGGCGTTTTGTCCCGAGCCGCGGAATTTTCTCCAGACGCGTCGGGAACAATCTCGCCCGGCTCCACCTCGGGCGCCGCCTCCTGCGCTGTCGCCTCGGGAGCAACCTCATCAGCAGCTCGGGCGACTTCGTCCCCCTCATACCTCGGCGGATCATCACGAGGTACTGCCTCGGTCTCCGCAAGAGCTACTCGTTTGGCTCTCCTGGCAATCTCCTCGGCTTCGCGTTGCTTCTTATCCCTGAGCGTAATGATCACCATCTTCTCTCGCGTGTCTCCTGATAAATTTGATGAAGAAGAACTGATGGATACCCCGGCGAAGATAGCTCGGGCTCTCTCTACTCTCTCGAAAGAAAGATGCTTTCTCCAGTTAACCTTCCGAGCCGCAAGAGTATCTCGAACAGAGAAGATAGATAGCTCGGGCTCTCTATCTTCTCTCGCGTGTCTCCTGATGAATTTGATGGAGAAGAACTGATGGATACCCCGGCGAAGATAGCTCGGGCTCTCTCTACTCTCTCGAAAGAAAAATGCTTTCTCCAGTTAACCTTCCGAGCCGCAAGAGTATCTCGAACAGAGAAAAGGTCGTCGGGAACAGGGGGAAGAAAACTCCGAACTGCAAAACAACATCAGAACGACTAAGTTAGAAGATGGAAATCGCACCACAACAAGCTCCGAGCCAAAACAAGGCTTCGGATCGACTACCAAGTGGTCCCCAAACGGTCTTCGTCTTATTTACAAAATCCTCGCCCACTGACGCCTCGTTCACCAAAACGCAGAAGAAACGTTCAGTCCAAAACTGATCTTTGCTCGAGAAACCGCCTATGATCTGACGGTTGGACTTGTTGGAAATATAAAATCTGCTTCCTCCCGGGGCTCTCCGGATTTCCAACAGATTGTGCAGATGACCGAGCTCGATGTCGACACCGCATTCGAAGCTCCGAACCAGGATGCCAATCATATGTCGCAAACCCCTCGGCATAATCTGCCCGATCGAAATCTCATGTTCCCACAAGTATTCGAGGATAACTCCAGGGATTGGGAACCATAGGAAGCAGAGCTCAAAAAACGCCTCGTATAAGGTGAAATGGTTTTCGGGAGGCTTGTCGGCTCGGTCATTCTTTTCCGGAACGACAAATTCAACCGCTTCGGATATCCTAAAACGATGGCGTAACGCCTGGGGGACGAGAGTGTAGAACCGGGAGGATCGGGTTTTTGCCTTTTCACCCGTTTAGGTTTCCCCTGCCTAGAAGAAGAGGCGCCTCGGGATGCCATAAGCTGCTCCAATTCGGGCCTCGCCTCAACCGGATCGAAAGGAAACGCTTCTTCCTCGGCCTTAACCGCGGCGTAATCAACCTCTTCTTGTTTAACAGGACCTCGGTGACAGCTCGTCGAAGCAGAAGCCTCATTATTAACAGAGCAAGTGCCTGAAGGGCTCGGAAAATTCAACACGTCGCCAGCCTCGGCGGAAGTTTTTGAAGGGCTCGGCGAAGCAGATGCCTCGGCGTAATTTTCGGAAGAGCTCGGCGAGACAGACGCCTCGGAGGATCCGGTTACACCCCTCGCCTCGGCGTCTGCACGGCTCGGCTCGTAATTAAAGAGCGAATCTAGCGAATCATCAGAACGGTTCGACATATTTTACAGCTCGTACCAAATTTACGGCGCTTTACATCAAGGTTCGCCGGAAAAACGGCGGAGACCTCGGAACCCTAGCCGGAAAAAAAATAAACTAGAGAGAAAAAGAAGAGAGAAGGGAGAGCTACCTTTTAGTAAAAATGAGAGATCTGAAGATTATGAGAAGAGACAAAGGAGCTCATCCATTTATAGGACGACCGCAGCGCGTGGAGTCCGCGTAGACCTCGGGATGATACAAAGGTAATAAATGAAGGCGCATGAAGTCCAAGGCGAATGTGTAACTTCCTGGCGCGTCCGTCATACGCGCCAACATCCAAACGTCTTGAAAAGAACTAACGACTGCCAAACACTTCCCGTATGAAGTTGCCCGGGTAAACCGAGCCCATAACGCAGCTATGGTTACCTGAGAATATCTCATTAAGCTGCGTGAACCAAGCCGTGCTTTCTTGCTACGGCTCAATAATTTCATAACAACGCCTCATCGTTATCGCTGACGCGGAACGGCTCGGCAACCCTCTTAAAACACATAAACACCTTGTCGTTACCTTGAAACACGGCTCGGCATTACTGACGTAAAACACCTCACCGTTAACACGAAACGGCTCGGTAACTTTCTTTGAAAACACCTCTTCATTAACTTGAATCACGCCTCGTCGTTATTTGGCTCGGCATAACTTTCACAAGTCGCCTCGCGTACAGTACTTTTCCTAAGGATATCTCACCAAACGGCACAAATTGTGCCACGCCTCGTCGTTAACAAAACGGCTCGGCATTATCTTTATCTTGAAACGCCTTGTCGCTAAACATAGCTCGGCATTTCCCTCAAACAGCTTCGTCAAAAACAACTCGTTATTTCGCTTCGTCGAAGAACGGCTCGGCATTTTTGTTCCCAAAACGCCTCACCTGGAATCGTTTCGCAACAGCCTAATTCGATGGTTTATCCCGAGTCCAGGAACAATGAACCTCGTCATTCTCGTCTCCGAAACCGACGAGCTGGGGGGCTAACTGTTGGGGTCGGTTTAACCCCAAGCGGATAAAACCATCTCAAAAATGATTAAGTATTGGAGAAAACCGATTTGGCAAGAAGGAACAACTACCCACCAAATATGGGCCGAGCTGTTCCACGAAACAGATGGGCCGAGCCGTGCTCGCCAAGACGAATGGACCGAGCCGCGCATGAGAGGAATGGGCCGAGCTGTGAACGGGCCGAGCCGTAAGGAGGAGGTATGTGAACCGAGCCGCGTGAAAGATGTTTGATGGGCCGAGCTGTGCAAGAGAGTGAAGGGGCTGAGCCGTGCGAGAAAGCAAATGGGCCGAGCCGCATAAGAAGGAGAATGAGTCGAGCTGATTCCTTCCACAATTGGGCCGAACTGAGGCTTTGAAAGACGAAAGCCCATAGAAACCCTAAGCGAAGTATTATGACAGTAGCCGCACGAAGCGATAAGGAAATATTTCGAAAATCTCTCCCGAGATTCTCGGTTAGGCGGTTTAAAAAGTTAGTATAAATAGGATATCTCTACGATTCATTATGTAAATTTTCACAACCCTAAGCAATAAAGATGAAACACTTTCGCAGCAATAAAAACACTCTTTCGATCTTACTGTTCTTGCGATAAATCCTAGAAGTTTCCGATCCTTTAAGTTTTCTTTAACAAATTCTTGGTTGTGCGAGTTTTGGCTCACACAGATATCAAAGAGGAGATTGATGAAGGTTGATAAGGTATTGCTTGCCATATCAGGAGAGACTGAAGCAGAGCTCCTATTAGCAGTTAGAAAGGATAAGATAAATGTAACATCTCAAAAGGAGCCAAAGTTAAGATCTTAACTGATATATATTGGATCATACTCAGATGAATTGCGGCGCTATGCTTTGTGGATCTCTAAACAGGACCAACTTGATGGAAACAGGGAAAAATCAAAGCTTTTGGTCACTGATTGTGCCATTTGTATATATAGTACTAAAAGAAAATTGATTTTTTGGTTTTAGCTTCGGTGTTAATTTGGTTTGGTTATGGGTAAGATTTTGGATTAGGAGATTGAGAAAACCATTCGATTTTGGTTCGGCTTGATTTAGTTTGGTCCGGTTCTATTTGATTTGATTATTCACTTTGTTTGTGTTGTCGATTTGGAAGATTTGGTGCAGTGTTTTTGAGTTTACTAGCTTTGTCTGTCTTAGGCCTGGCATTCGGATATTCGGTTCCGGATATTTCGGATAGAGAGGGTTAGGATCCATCGGTATTTTTATAAATTTCAGTTCGGTTTGGTATTTTTATTTCGGTTCGGTTCTGGTTCGGATAATCGGATCAGGATCTTTTGCCTCAAATTTTTAATTCGACTCAAATTTTTTAATATAAATTATATCCAAAAATTCAAAAATATATATATCAAAACTTAAAAATATATCCAAAAGTCTCAAAAATAAAGAAAACATATCTGTAAAACCAGAAATATATACCAAATATCAAAAATATCAAATAAATAACTAATATTTAGAGGGATATATACTTATACTTTAGATAATTCGGGTATCCAATCGGTTCTCGGTTCGGTACTAGTTCGGTTCCGGTTCTTCAAGTATAAAAGTTTAAGATTCATCAGATATTTTTAAAAATTTCGGTTCAGATTCGGTACCTCCATTTTGGTTCGGTTTCGGTTCGGATATTCGGATCCGGGTTTTTTTGTCTAGACCTAATCTGTCTAGTAGGCAAAAGTTTTATTCGGTCCCAATGTCGTTTCTGAAATCACGGTGTATATGGAAATGTAATTTCAGTTGAGAAAGTTCTTTTGATCATGTTTTGGAAACGAGCCATAAATTATTAATCTTTTGTGAGCCAGATTATGTAATTAAAATACTATATATAATATATAAAATAATTTTAATTAATTATTATTTTCAAAATTTAAAGATTCATATATATAATCATACAAAAACAGATTGTCTTTCTCTATATCTTTTTTTCCTAATGATGTCTTTGGAAAAGAAAACTAAAAAGGAAAAACATTATTATTCATCTATTATATTAAAACAGAAGCACTTTTAATGCTTGCATCCAAACATTTCTAAAGTTTTATTTAAAAACAGTTATTTGACAACTGTTTTAATATTATCCTATTTTGTTGTGATATTATTTTTAAAAATACATTTTCTTTAATATTAAAAATTAATTCTGAAAATTAGATATCAATTAGATAATTAAAGATTTTCTTAATATAAGTTATATTTAATTTAAAATTTAAAATATTTTAAAAAACTGTAATTAAGTTTAACTTTAAAAGTTAGATATTAAGTTAAATTACTTTAAACTTCTTTAAATATATTTCAGATTTAATTTAACATTTAAAATTTAAATAATACTTTTATAATAAACATATAATTAACAAGTATGTTATTGTGCTTTTTAATCATAATCAATCAGTCAAAAATTTTACATATTAAATATTGATTAATATTTATATTATACGATAATTTGATAGGACATGTTAGGTTTTTTTTATAATTGTGGTCTTATGCGGGTTAAGTTATCGAAACATGTAATATATTAAGTTAAAAATATTTCAAAATAAGTAAATATGTTATTTTATAGTAATATGAACAGATGGGTAAGAATTATGTTTTTATAACCACAATCTTTTTTGGATTAATAGAATGAATAAATTAGAATTATATTTTTATAATAACTGTCTTTTTCGATTATTAAATTGATCGCGTTATAACTATGTTTTTATGTTCGCGATCATAATAATACTAACAGAAATTTTTTTAATATAAATTACATATATAAATAAAAAATAAACCTTTATCACTTATTAAAAAAATTATATCTATAAAAAATTTATAAATTACATTACAAAATTCGATAAACTTGTCGTGCGGATGCATAGCTTAAAATCTAGTTTTATTCTTAAAAATCTTGTACTTGTAATTGTTTAAGTTATATGTCCTTTTACGCTTTGCTGAATCTCTTAAAACCACGTTAATATTAGTTTATTTGTTCTCTTAGGCCGACTCTAAAGATATATGAGCTCGGCTACATAAAGATTCAGATAATTCGATGGACGCATTTGTTACTTAACCGCTTTGCCATATGGTAGTGCTACAGTACTAACCGGCAAACAAAATACATGTGACTGAGTGAACAAACACCCAAAATTAAACGAGATGCTTCCAAGTCATCTGATCCTTTTATCAGGATTCTAGATTTCGGGGTTAGAGTAGTTGTTACTATCTGACCAGGATTCAGGTTAGACAAGTCGTAACTATCTTAAGAGTTCTGAAATACCTAAGAATAAATTATTTCCGTTATCTAAATATCTTAATTTGATTGTGAAATACCTAAGAATAAATTATTTCTCTTCACAATCAAATTATATCTCTTTCACATGTGACACATCTTGTAGCTATTGGGAAGATATAAAACATAAAGCAGCAAGTACAAAATTTGTAAATCGCATGTGTCTGTGAATTCATTTGTTGATCAACTATCACAAACAAACAACAAAGAAAGTAGAGCACTCGCTCATCCCAATCCCGTGTATGAGCACACACTCACCAAAAATCTCCATGGTTGTCTCACCTATGGACAGACTCTAGATTAACAAAATACACAGTCTAGTTTATTTCCGAGCGGTTGAATCACTCTCCATGCTATAAGAGCAACCTCAATGGTGAACCTCTCATGAGGTTCATACCAAATATTTTATAGAAAAATTTTGAGGAATTAAAAGTTTAGAACCTCACATTAATTTGCTCCTCCTATGGTGAATCTCTAATAGGATTTCAAAAATAAAATAGAGATGGTAAAATCCAGGTTTCTTCTGTCAAGAAAATTCTCAGATCACAATCACTAATATCAAATGTGGACCAGGACATGGTATCAGGTAAACAACTGATAAAAACCGCATTTTTGTAACTGTTGTTGTTGTCGTTGCAGAGTTGATAAACGGTTTTGATTTCTTTGCGTTTGAAGCGTTGGGAGTTTAGGAAGATATCCTTGTTGCAG